GACGCTCTATCCACTGAGCCAAACCGGTGCTGGCAGTCGGTGGTATTTTATTTCTTAACTGGATGTGTGGGTATATGATGTTTGCTTTTTGGTCTTTTTTTTTTTTGTCTGAGGTATTTTACAATACATTAAGAACCTAATAACAAAGGTTAATATATTCAATTTAGTTGACTTAGGGTTGTTAACTGTTTTCTAAATTCACCGTATTTGAACTATGGAAAGTGACTTTTAAAAAGGGGGAAACAGTTATCCTCATAGGAAAATATTGCTGTTTATTATAGCAACAGCCTCTCAGAGCTGTTGAAATTCTCTGCATATCATTCTGAGTTTCACAACACTTTCCAGAGAAGCTGTGAAAGGCTTTATAGAATTTAAGGGGAATTAGGACATCTTCCCTCCAGTATTGAAACTGTAAGTTATAGAGGTTTGATGGGGGGTGTCATCTGGGCACAGCATCTCCCATGGGAATCGGCACATTCTAGAGCAGCCGTGGGCAAACTACGGCCCTCGGGCCGGATCCGGCCCGTTTGAAATGAATAAAACTAAAAAAAAAAAAAGACCGTACCCTTTTATGTAATGATGTTTACTTTGAATTTATATTAGTTCACACAAACACTCCATCCATGCTTTTGTTCCGGCCCTTCGGTCCAGTTTAAGAACCTATTGTGGCCCTCGAGTCAAAAAGTTTGCCCACCCCTGTTCTAGAGGGAAGTGGTCAGACTGAAAAGCCGAATGTCTCAGGGAGGGAGACCTGTGTCACCCCAGCTCACTGGGAAGGATATATAACCAGGGTGCAGGTTCAGTAATTAACGCCCAGCTGTGGACCCACCAAGGGCCCCGAGTATGTGTGCCATGATTTTCCTGTAGGCAGGCCACTTGGGAGCCAGAGCAACTTGGTGAGCAAGAAATGAGAGAATGGAGGTTGCCCTGAAAACCTTACATATCTTCATAATGGACTGCCTCCAGTTCCTTTGAGTCTGGGTAGTTTTTCTGGGCAGTGCTTAAGGTGGGCACTGGCTCTGTTGGCCTCTTGAGAAGACTGCCTAACAGGGTGATGAACACATTTGCCAGCAGAATCAAAAACACTGGGTTTGGACCCCACTGATTGTGACCTTGGGCAAATGGACTTAATTTCCCAAGTCCACTGTTTCTTCTCTCTAAATTGAGAATCACAGTATGTATCTACTTGATGGTCATTGTGAGGATTCAATGTCAAATGTAAGACGGTTAGCAGAGGACCCGGTATTTAGGGAACTCTCAGTAAGTGTTATTATTACTGTTATTATTTGTGACTCTCCTTTCCACATGGTGGTGACTGACCCTCTCTTCTTCAGATTAACTCTTTCCTTTTGTGCATATCTTTGTTTCTTCCATTTACTAAGAGAATACACGCTTGTTTATAAAATGTTCTTATAGTACAAACAAGTATAGTGGTCGCTGGTAATCACACTTCTTTGGTTACTAAAGGGCTAACTTTTTAGTAGATCACTGTAATTTGGCAGTCATATTTGAGCCACTGTTTCATGCCAACTGAAATTAATTTGTACAATGTCACTGCCTCATTGCCCTAAACAACTGCAGTGGTTCTCAACCTTGGCTGCACATTAGAATCACCTGGGAATCTTTTTAAAATCCTGATTTCTGGGCCTCATCCTCCGGAAATTCTGTTTCTTTGTTATGGGGTGAGGAAACAACATTAGTAACAAAGGATTTTAAAAATCAGGATTTTAAAAAGATTCCCAGGTGATTCTAATGTGCAGCCAAGGTTGAGAACCACTAAACTAGAGCCTTGGTAGGTTTTTACTTCTCTGTTTAGCCTATTTCTTCCCTCTTGTCCTCACTTAGCCACTAGGATTAAAAATAAAAAAGTTTTAAGGAAATTTTGGATTAAGATTTATATGTTTTCTTTAGTGTGTGTCTTTCTCAAGAATTCTTTAAAAATCTTGTTTGATAATCACATTTTTATCACGCTGTCATGGGTTTTAATTAGACCCATT